ATTAAAAAAGACCAGTTTAAACAAAAAGTGAATGAATATTACAATTATAAATGGAACCAAGATAATCAAAGACCAGATTCAAAACTAAGAACTTATACATTACTGAAGAAAAATATAAATACTGAACCATACATTAAAATCCTTCATAATAAAGAAAACATTGGTCTATTAGCAAAATTGAGACTAAGTGCCCATAAACTAAACATCGAGATGGGAAGGCACAAAACACCAAAAATAAAAACAGAAGACAGAAAATGTACTAAATGCAACCTACTTGAGGATGAAATTCATTACATCACAAAATGTGAACTTTACACAGATGAAAGAGAGTTGTTATATTCACATTTTTCAAAGAAAATTAACAATTTTCAACACAGCACAAACAAACAAAGAAAAATTCATTCATATATTGAATACAAACAACAAATATTTACTAACAGAGCTTATCAAATTTATAAAAACAGCAAATACCATTAGAGAAAACCACCTAATGGGTCATTAATATTTTTTTTACATTATTCCATGTAACTGTATTGTAGTAGATTTTAGATATCTAACTTGTTATGTTTATTTTAACACCTTTATTACATTATGTAAACCAAAATAGATATGTAATTCCGTCTATAAGGTTGTAATAAAGAATTATCTTATCTTATATACAAAGAAGAAGTTGATACATCACCAAAAAAATACCTGTCAACAAACAAGCATAGGTTGGGTAGCCAATTATAAGTAGTTTGAACGAAATAAAGCGACATTCATAAAACTCTAAAACATCGGGTTTTATATAGCGCCCTCTAAACGAGACTAATGTGCTAGTATGTGTCCTTGTTTTTATTTGATTTACTCGTCATAATCAATAAATTTTCAAATGTTGAAAACATTGACATGTTGATAAGCCATTTGTCCATATTAGATGAACATGTGAAATTGAAACGTACAGAAAAGGAAATTATATATCTGAAATCTAGCACGAACCGGTGGTTTCTCTGAGGAAGTTGACGAATTTGAAATCTGAGTATGATGCCAACTTTAGCACCGTTCCAGACATGCATTTAATCTAAAATGGCTTCCCCCATGACAACTAACCCCCGGGATTTGACTTGGTATTCCCGCAAACATAACGAGGTTGGTATTTCCAACATGGTATCGTGTTTCATATCATGAACAGCGAGTGAAGTGGTAGGTGTCGGTACAGTTGAACTCCAGTTGCGACATATCCACGATTAGCTGAGTCAAGTTTTCGGGCTGTTCCAGCCGTTCAACTTTCTTTCAACTCACACTCCTGTCAAAGCATCATACTGTGTATACGATGAATGGGTATGCCAGCAGCACCGATTTTGGTCTTAAAATTGTATGTGTAGTTTGCGACAAGAAACTTCGAGAGCCACGTGTATTGTCTTGTCTTCATACATTTTGTATTGACTGCATCCGATCGTTTGAGCCCTACGCAGTTAACAGTCCAGACGACGGCGCCGATAGCAGGAGTTCTCTATCAAGTGGCGGATCGAGCGGTACAAATCGGGGAAAGTCTGTAGTTATTCTTTGTCCAGAATGTGATACAGAAGTCTCTTTACCTAGTGATGGCATAGAAGCTCTACCTTCGAATTTTATCGCCCAAAAGTTTCTTCTGTTGGCATCGTTAAACCAGGAATCAGCTAAACTGCAGTGCGATCTCTGCGCGGACAGCTCGTCAGCGGGATCGAGGTGCGAAGAATGTTCCATCTACATGTGTGGTTTTTGCGTTCAAGCTCACAAACGGCAAAGAAAAACGTCATCCCATACAGTCATTAGTTTAGAGGAAGCCCGAAAAAAAGGTCTGAACAATGTACACCGACCTATATTCTGCCGTACTCACTCCAACGAAGAAGTACAGATGTTTTGTGAGAATTGTGATGAGACAGTATGCCGAGATTGTTGCTTGGTTGAACATAGGAATCACCGATGTGAATTCATCGATAATGTCCTCTCCAGTAAAAAGCAAATCATACACAATCTTCTCTCGCAAACTAAACCCCATATTGACGTTCTCGAAGTCGCGATAGAAGGAGTAGAATCAATGCAGGTGGCAGTCACAGAGAAGTGTGATGAAATAACTAATGACATATCAATGTTTATTGACAGTTACATCAAAGCTCTTGAAAAACACAAAAACAACCTGCTGAGCAAAGTGGATGAAATGGAGTCTGAGAAACACAAAATACTGAATCTTCAAAGCATTCAGCTGAAACAGATGTTGGATGATTTTAAAAGCTCGTGTAGTTTTGTGACCGATGTCTTAGAAGAAGGATCTGGGGCTGAAATCCTGTCTGTTAGAAAGCTACTGCTCAATCGACTCAGAGAACTGAATTCCTACAAGTATAAATGTGAGCCTAAAACAAATTCATTTATCAAATTTCTGAGCAGCGAGAATGCGGGATCAGTTGATGGATACAAGATGATAGGACATGTTACTAGCACTGAAGATCAACAGTTCAAATGTATTGTAAAAGGAGAAGGTATGTTTAATTTACACTTCTGTGTTGCACAGTTTAGGGGTTGAACATTATAAATTCAGGGGGGGGGGGTTTTAAAAAAATGGTCTGAGTATATCATAAATAAAAAATCTGCAGGGAAATTCACAGAATTTTTTTTTTATAAAAAAAAATCATACAAAGTATTAAAGCAGTAGATCTCTCCCAATCTGTCATTTGCTCTTCTCACCTCATACTAGTAGATGACAGAGTGGAGCTGTTCATATAGGTTATTGCCGTCCATCCAACTGCATTTTTGACTTCTTCTTGAAAACTACCTTCCAGATTGCTTTGATATGTTATATCTAAGTACCATGGGTAGACATCTAGCAGATTTCTTCATTTCATGATGGTATCAATAATTATCTATTCTTAGCTATTATTTTTGGCATTTTTGATAAAAATTGAAACACGTGTATTTTCAACTTCTTCTTGAAAACTACCGTACCAGCCCGATGGCTTTATTAATTAATTATGTTATATTTAGGTACCATGGGTAGACCTCTATGGCTCTATCAGATTGTTAATTTTGTGACAATACTATTAACTTTCTATTGTCACAAATATTTTTGTTATTTTTTATACAAAATTTTTAGTTCGAAAACAGGGATTTATGTTTTGCCCTGTGTGCGGGCGTGTGTGCGTGCGTCCGTGATCACCTGTATCTCGAACATGCATGGACCGATTAAGTTCAAACTTCACTCATACATCACACATTATATGGGACATATGCACATGCATTTTTTTCATGATCTGATTAACGATAGCTGAATAGCGGCCGCTTTAAGGCAGAAAATGCATCAAAATCACACATTTTCACCATTCTGGACCCGGATCTCAGTTATGCATGGACGGATTTTGTCCGTATCTAAGACATGCTTGGATTGATCGAGTTCAAACTTCACACACACAAGGTACATCATGTCACAAATATGTATGTGCATTTGTTTCATGATCTCATTAACGATAGCCAAATGGCGGCCGCTTTAAGGCCGAAAATGCATTGAAATCGTATATTTTCACCATTCCGGACCCGGATCTCAGTTATGCATGGACTGATTTTGTTCAAATTTAGTACATACATTACACATAATAGAACCTTGATGCACGTCATTTTTTTTTTGGATCAGGTTTGAAATGGCCGACTGGCGGCCATTTTGTTTTAAAGAATTCAGTTCTGGATCCGTATCTGAGACATGTCTGGATTGATCAAGTTCAAACTTCACACACACAAGGTACATCATGTCAAAAATATGTATGTGCATTTGTTTCATGCTCCGCTTAACAATAGCTGAATGATGGCCATTTTAAGGCCGAAAATGCATCAAAATCACGTATTTTTACAATTCCGGAACCGGATCTCAGTCATGCATGGATGGATTTTGTTCAGATTTAGTACAATGTGTTGTACATATGCAGGTGCATTTCGGTCATGATCTGCTTTGAATGTATATGTCACTCAAATATGAACGGAACGGGGACGTGTCATTGACAATGACTTGTATTTTTCGACTTCTTCTTGAAAACTACCAGCCTGATTGCTCTGATACTTGAGGTGTACATAATTATTGTGAACAATTTGTTTGTTGATATTAGATTATCATGTTCTTTACAATCTGAACCAAACTGCATTTTAGTGGGATAACTGTGTTTGTCTTATTGGTATACATTAATTGACTTGGCTCACACAATGTTCTTATAGGACTGCAGAGCTATTTCACCCATCAGATCGCTTGTCCAATTTCCTTTGCATTGAAGTTGTAAATTGGTTACTATACTAATTAGTGTTCAGGCAGTTATAGTGATAGGAATCATAGTTGCGCACACATTACAGGTTACTATACTAATTAGTGTTCAGGCAGTTATAGTGATAGGAATCATAGTTGCGCACACATTAATTAATAAATTTCAAATCTTGATCCATATCAAAAAAAAAAACTTATCTTATTTAGTCTGCTTCATTCAAAATGAACTCCAAGGACTTTTGTTTTATATGTTTATAAATTTCAAATGACGGATGAAAACAACTTGACCAAATAATGTTTGCACCGATGGTTTATCAGGTGGGTACTGGTAGCATATTGGTTGTTTGCACCCATGGTTTATCAGGTGGGTACTGGTAGCATATTGGTTGTATGCACC